ACCACACTGGGAAGGGTGAAGACAACTGGGTCGAGGTGTCCCTTATTTATTTTTCAGGGAGTTGGCAACCCTAATCAAACATGACATTTAAACATGATCTTGTTATATGGGGAAACTATAGGAGCTATTTTAAAAGACAAAACTATTAATTAAGAAATAATAAATACCCCATAGCACAGGGAACCGCCTCCTCCTCAAAGTCAGCCGGTCTCTTCTTTACCAGCTTGTCCACTATTGGAGTTTCATCTTAAATCATGAGAAAGTGGTTCTATTTTACTTTGAACACCTTAAAATCAGCTCCTATAGCTATCTGGGTGACCCAGCTCACCTTCTCTGACTTCATCCTCAGAGCCACTCAGCTCCTTCTTCTCCGCCTCAGGAGTAAAATCAAAAGCCTTTTTATCTGCTCTCTCCTCCAGGAGTTTCTTTTTCATCTGTTTCCTGGCTGCTGCCATCCTCCTAGCTTTTACTGCTGCCAAATGTTACACAACGAAAAAGAAAGCTGGCAACCCACCCACTGCTAATGTTAGCTTAAATAATAAAATTAGCTTTTTAATAAGGTATTAAAGAATTAAAAAATGTTGCTAATAACACCTGTTTAGTTTCAAGCGAACTAACGGACAAGGCTCAATTTTAACTAAATCCGAAAAGCAGTTCTAGTTTTAATTCTCCTTTATTTAGATAAAAACAAACCTGAATGAAAATAGTCTGCTAGCTTGCTGAATCCGCTAGATTCCCGCCACAACCTTAGCCCGAAGTGTGCCGAGCTCCGCCGAATCTCCCCGAATTCCGCCCACAAAACAGAAGACCAAGTATGGAAGGACATTAGTGTCAATATTAAAAAAAAAACATAAATATGAATATTAACAAATATTTAATATTAGATCACAAATACAATTTGATAAATATGGTAAAAAAAAATCAAAGAAATATTCAATAAAAAATACAAAGTAAATAAGAAATCAATTATAATTAGGATATCAGGCAGACAGGCAGACCACCCTGTTACCAAATGATTTCTAATAACAATAAATGTTTACTGAACTTACAAGGTTTCGTTCTATTGCTTTAGTAACAAATTGAATTTTAACGTGAAAAGAATGGAGGGAGTTGCTCTAGTTTATATAAGTTCAGTTTTACCTGAAACTGGATGAGTATTCAGCATGAGTTTTTCATTTATTAAAAGTACTTTTTAAATTCCTGCAGTAGTTGTAGCAGGTTTGCACCAACCAGCAGAACATAGCTACTAAAATATCTCACAAAAAGAGACAAACCATATTTTTTGATGGGTTGTTTTTTAACAGAAAAAACACCTTTTTTTAAAAATTATTTTTGAATCTGAAATTATAGGTTGGCCAAACTATATTTACAAATCTGAGGCCATTACACCTCCCATACATCACAGAGGTCAATAATCAGCCTTTTCAAGAATGTTCACCTCACAAGTTATGATTTTTTTACAACGAAATAATAAAGTGGAATTATAGAATATGCCATGAACTAAAGCGTTTCTTACCAATTTCCTGGAATTATTGAAAATGAGCAGCAACAGAACGAGCTGCACGAGCAATGATAATAATGTCATGAAATAATGCACAGCACATTTGAAAATATCAGCTTTAATAGTAAATTCAGCTTGTTTACATGATTTATTAAAAAGACGTCCACCTCTGGCGGCTGATCTTTGTGCACATTCATCATACATCATACAACAAATCAGCCTGATCGAATACTATTAAACAAAGATGGATTCGGGTTCTCTGCATGATAAGAAAAACATTCAAATCTTGATGCTACAGCTCTAATGTAACACAGCAATCCAGCGTGATGTCATCATGGTGATGTCATCATGGTGCAGTCGCTGTGTCTCAAAGGAGAAATCAGTCGCTGCAGTTCTGAATGCAAAGGTGAGCAGCGAGGTTCTCCAGCCGTCAGATACTGTTTGTGTGCATATTAGAAAATAATGAGGAACACCTTTTGTCATTAATGCTGCAGTGATGTGAGAGTTTATTAATCCTGAGCTTCTATGCTGAGTAACACTGAGGAGATGATTAATGGCAGGAAACCTTCCTAACACGTGTAACTACTCATCTGGTGTCACCTGACGGGTCGACTGTAAGCTGTTCGTCCACCCCTGAGCTCTCCTTCTCCAGCTCGGGATCCCGACGTCTTCCCAGGTCACATGAGCTATGTGACGAGCCAACAGACTGTACATAAAAGACAGCAGATCCTGTGACGTCACACCTGCATTCTTTCTAATGACCAGCAGGGGGCAGTCGGCTTGAGGAAACACAAACATCAGTCACTGATTTCAGGTTTAATTTAACACAACGTTCAGAGTCAGGGGGCACGGGGAGGGGGGAGGGATTCAGGGGGGCGCATCTCTGCTTTAAAAACTCCAACATGGAGGCGGGAAACGTTACAGTAACTGTGTCCGTCTTTTATATACAGTTTATGGCTGAGTCCTGTGATGAGGGTCTGAGCTCGATCGTGATGCTTGGATCTGGGCTTTTCTCCAGCTTCTAGCAGCTGACGGTGAGGCGAGGCTGGATGTGTGGGCCAATCAGACGCCTCCTTGATGGTGATGTGATGGAAAACAGTCGAACACTTCTGCGCGGTATCCCACAACACATTTTCAGTTCTCGGGACCTTTGACTGACCAGGAATGCACACGCCGACATTTCTGTCCCAGAGGTCAAAGGTTAGTCTGCTGCGTGTGTTGACTACTGTAACATCTCTATGTTAACCAGGTGCTGGCAGGGGTCAGATGTTAGCCGCTGAAGCTCCTTCCTCCTCCTGAGAGCCTTCTCCACCACCACCAACAGCTAACGCTATAAAAAGCAGCCTTTCTCCTCACACGCTGACAGGCTGCAGGATCAGGTTCCTGTCTTCTGATTGGCTAGCCAGCAGGGCACTTCTCCACACCTGGAAAAGCCACATGCAAATTTCTGTGAATACGTGATGGATGTGCTCCACAATGCAGCCACAGAGCATCAAGCTGTGTTGATTTTATCTGATTTAAAAGGATCATTTAAAAACCTGAAGTCTTGGCTCTGTGAGGGGAAAAGTTTCTGAGAATACACCTGCACAGGTGCGTACCTCTCTCTCAGCGTCGGCTGGCTGCTCAGGAAGCTGAGCTGCTGCTCCAGACGACAAACCCTGAAGGCCAGATAGCAGGACGACAGGACCAGCAGGAAGACTCTGAGAGAGACAGACAGGTAAAAAACACCTGACACACCTGTGAAGAAGCGCAGTAAAGCCGGAGGTTCCTCCTCGCTCTGCATCCAATCGGCAGACGAAAGAACCGGCTGTGTATGCTGGTTTTGGATCTGACTCACAGCAGGATGAAGAGTCTGAGCAGCTGGTACTCTGCGTGGCCCAGTTCAGGTACCGGCTCTGTCAGCAGGATCTTCTCCGTCTCCAGGCTGCAGTCTACACGCACGAGACAGAGAACACGGGTAAACGCATCATTACCTTTGAATGTGGGCGGGCGGATGCACGGGGCTACCTGTGAGCGTGTGAGCACTGAAGGTGGTGGTGGTGGCGAGGCTGGGGGTGGAGTTTCCCAGCAAATCGGGGAGAGAGGAGGAGACGGCGGGAAGCGACGGTTTCCGTCTCCATTTCAGCACCTCTGGAAACTCGTCCTGACAGAGAGACGCAGGTTCAGAGACACACCTTTGTAAAAAGCAGAGAAGCTGCCGACGAGGCTGTTACCATGGACAGCGAGCTGGGCTCCTCCAGGTACTGCTTCAGACTCAGACTCTTCCCGTTCACCTGAGCACAGACAGAGGACGCCAGGTGAGCCAGAATCAAACATTCGTTACCAGGAAGCTGAATGTGGACCGACCTGCAGGTGGGTGCAGATCCTCCTGAGGACGTCGTAGACGCTGTCTCGGGACAGCAGGGACACAAACACGTACTGAGGACGGAGACAAAGACAGAAGGCGTTCAGAGTGAGTTCGCCCAATCGCAGCGAGGTCCAGACGGGACCGTAGCTTCGGCGCCGCCCTCTGAATCCTCCATTTAAACCAACTCCAGCAGCAGGAGCCATTCACAGATTTAAAGCATCCACCCATCCCTCTATCATCCACCAGTCGAATCATCCACCCATCCCTCTATCATCCACCAGTCGAATCATCCACCCATCCCTCTATCATCCACCAGTCGAATCATCCACCCATCCCTCTATCATCCACCAGTCGAATCATCCACCCATCCCTCTATCATCCACCAGTCGAATCATCCACCCATCCCTCTATCATCCACCAGTCGAATCATCCACCCATCCCTCTATCATCCACCAATCGAATCATCCACCCATCCCTCTATCATCCACCAGTCGAATCACCCACCCATCCCTCTATCATCCACCAATCGAATCATCCACCCATCCCTCTATCATCCACCATCGAATCATCCACCCATCCCTCTATCATCCACCAGTCGAATCACCCACCCATCCCTCTATCATCCACCAGTCGAATCATCCACCCATCCCTCTATCATCCACCAATCGAATCATCCACCCATCCCTCTATCATCCACCAATCGAATCATCCACCCATCCCTCTATCACCAATCGAATCATCCACCCATCCCTCTATCATCCACCAATCGAATCATCCACCCATCCCTCTATCATCCACCAATCGAATCATCCACCCATCCCTCTATCATCCACCAATCGAATCATCCACCCATCCCTCTATCATCCACCAATCGAATCATCCACCCATCCCTCTATCATCCACCAATCGAATCACCACCCATCCCTCTATCATCCACCAGTCGAATCATCCACCCATCCCTCTATCATCCACCAGTCGAATCACCCACCCATCCCTCTATCATCCAATCGAATCACCCACCCATCCCTCTATCATCCACCAATCGAATCATCCACCCATCCCTCTATCATCCACCAATCGAATCATCCACCCATCCCTCTATCATCCACCAATCGAATCACCCACCCATCCCTCTATCATCCACCAGTCGAATCACCCACCCATCCCTCTATCATCCACCATCGAATCACCCACCCATCCCTCTATCATCCACCAATCGAATCACCCACCCATCCCTCTATCATCCACCAATCGAATCATCCACCCATCCCTCTATCATCCACCAATCGAATCACCCACCCATCCCTCTATCATCCACCAGTCGAATCATCCACCCATCCCTCTATCATCCACCATCGAATCACCCACCCATCCCTCTATCATCCACCAATCGAATCACCCACCCATCCCTCTATCATCCACCAATCGAATCATCCACCCATCCCTCTATCATCCACCAGTCGAATCATCCACCCATCCCTCTATCATCCACCAGTCGAATCACCCACCCATCCCTCTATCATCCACCAGTCGAATCATCCACCCATCCCTCTATCATCCACCAATCGAATCATCCACCCATCCCTCTATCATCCACCATCGAATCATCCACCCATCCCTCTATCATCCACCAATCGAATCATCCACCCATCCCTCTATCATCCACCAATCGAATCACCCACCCATCCCTCTATCATCCACCAATCGAATCATCCACCCATCCCTCTATCATCCACCAATCGAATCACCCACCCATCCCTCTATCATCCACCAATCGAATCATCCACCCATCCCTCTATCATCCACCAATCGAATCATCCACCCATCCCTCTATCATCCACCAATCGAATCATCCACCCATCATTCATCCGTCCATCCTCTTCTGATCAGAGAAGCCCTCCTCCTCCACTTGTATCTGCGATCCCATATTTAGGTAACTACTCGCAGCTCGTAACGGGTTTTCATTTTCAGCTGATCGGAACAACACGATCATGTTTAAAGTTTAAATCTCACAGAAACAGGCGAACTCTTAACCTCTTAAGCCCCAACGCCCCTGATACGGCGGCAAAAGGCAGGAGATCAGTTAGGCTCGGGGCTTAAGCGGTCAAAAGCCTTTAAATAGTTCATACTCCTGTGAGGCGAGACAGCGACACATTCCCGCCCATCAGCAGTGAGCGCGGACCCTCCAACAAACGCCTGCTCGGCGTGCGAGCGGTGGCAGAGGAGAGCGCGCTCTACAGGCGCTTCAACGAATCTCGGAGTCAGATCAGAAATGCCTGAATAATTCTGACTGACTGCGCAGAGCGGATGATGTCATCACTCTGCATCTGGTGCAGGCAAAGAGAAAGCTCATTAATCACATGATGCTCGGACAGGTCAGCGGGGATACCTTCTGTCCTGTATCCATGGTGATGGCGAGGCCGTTCGGCACCAGACCCGCAGTCTTGTGCTTCTTCACCAGCCGGACCGACACCACCGGGATGCACACCTGCCTCGGGAAACACAAACGCACAAAGTCAGAGCTTCTCAGGTGAGAGGCGCCTGAAGCTGAACCTGAGAAGGTCAGACGTCCAACCCTGGGCACCGGATCCACCTGCTCCATGACAGAAACCCCGAACGGGATTTCTTTAAATTAATTCACTGAATTGATTCAAAGTGGCCACGTGACAGGTGATGTCATCGCTCACCTTGATGTCTTTGCCGAACAGGTTGGCGTAGAAACACAGCCAGTTCCTGGAGATGTAGAGTCGCCCCTGCAGCAGGATGTCTCTGAGCAGAGCGCAGGAATACGCTGCAGCGAGAGCGGATCGTGTTAGCGTAAACCGACAGAGATCGTTCGACAGACACATGAGCAGATGTCAGGACACAGCTTAGATCAGACATCGGTTGGGAAGCAGAAACTGTTCTCACGGCATTCTTTACTGAGGGATTTCTGGCTAGCTCCCTGGGTGGAGGTCACCGCGGGGCATCTACTTTCATTTCTTCTGTTTCAGGCGTTTTTGGGTGAATTTGTTGCATTTGTTTTAGACACATGCCATCGACACGATCACAGACTTGGACTGGATACCAGTGCCCTGAGAGATTTACGAGCGGTGCCGTTGACAGGAACCGAATAATGATTTCAAAGTGCCGTGCTGACGGTTTCACATGTGAGCTAAAGCAGGCGGTGAGTGCTGCACTCGGTACCTTTCATCAGGACTTCTTCTTTAGGAACCGCCTGGAACAGTTTGTGGTACTGAGAGTTGTATTTGCTGACAGTCTGTGGACGCACAAAAACACACGATTACACGTTTGCATGGAGAGCGTTTACAACACCAGGTTCAAAAGGTTTCCCATCACGGCTGAAGGACGTGCAGCTCATTTCCTGTTTGTCTACAGCGGAGGAGACGCAGAGTTTGTGTTTTTATAGTTAACGGCAGAAATGTCCAATATGTCTAACGATAAAGACACATTAACACGGTGCTTTTATAGTTCACTTATTTTATAGTTGGAAACATTTTCTTTATAGTGAAAAAACAAATCAGCTACAGATTCATATTTATAGTTTCATTTAATAAAACATCTTTATGGTTATATAATGGCACCTGTTATTTACATATGAAAACAAACAGAAAATGTGGTTTCATTTGTGACATTAGTGGTTTATAACCAGCAGCCTGTTTAATAAAGGTTTATTTTTATTAGAGTGAATATTTATGAATAAATGTTCTTTATATTCAAACAAACATCATACTGTCTGTTATTGACAGTATATTTGTTGTTGGATAGTTTATCTGTAACAAAAATAGGTTCATGTTATTTGTTTAATGGTACATTTATGTTCGTTTTATAGTGAAAACCGAGACGTTCCTGTCACTTCCTGTTATTAATAAGCCAAGCACTGAAATAAAAGGACATTTTTTAACAGGAAGTTATTTCACTGTATAATTTTAGTGGGAAAAACCCAGAAAGTTGTTTTATTTCATGGTGTATTATTTATGGAAAACCGGGATAATCCCAGAAGCTCAACCCCATCCCGTTTCTGGTGCGTGTTTTACTTTCAACAGGCTGGCGCTGATTCCTGAGGCGTGATCGGGAAACAGCTTTGAGTTTGTATCACCTGAAACAAAAGATCTGAGCGCTTCCTCCAGCTCAGCTGACTACAAACCGAGCGGCGTGTTTCTGGAGCATTGTTTGGGTTCCTCGCATGTAGGTCAGACGTTACATCATGTACACACCGCCCTGCCCCCGTACACCTGTACGGCTTTATTCTGCGAGACTTCCTTCCTTCCTCTTCCTGTCTGAGACAACAAAGACTGAAACAACAGTCAGCGGCAGCTCGACACCCAGGTCTCCATCGTCTTCTCTGATCCTGCCTCGTTGGTCCTAAAACATTAAACTAACGGATAAACCCAAAGAAATGTTTGGGATTAGAGCTGCTGCTGCTTCCTGATGGCCGCCTGAGCTTTTCTGTCCACTCACGTGGATCCTGCCCACAAAACACCCACACAAACACACCCCTGTCCCCATGGAGACTCCTGCTGCCCTGCTGTCATCTCTGGACCTCCTGCTGCTCTGTGCGAGGGCAGGTTTTACTTACCGATTCTCTGTAACACTTCTTCACGTCTTCGTAGGACAAGTCGTCGATCAGCTGCAGCCTGCGGGACACAGCAGCACCTTCGGTTAGACTCAAACACAAACTGCAGTTTCTGTACTGGGAGCGGCCCAGTGATACCAGAAGTTCTCCTTTTAGTCCCAGAGAGCACAAACACACTGGATTAGAAGGAAATGCACACAACTACAATCGCTCCTGTGTGACTTCATCACTCCGTCTCATCGCTGTGGACGAGTTCTGGTCCACTCTTCTCCACAGGTTGTTTCACTTCATCGATGTTTGCAGCATTTATTCATGCACAGCTCTCTGAGCTCTGCGGCAGCTCTTTGGTATTCATGGTTCACTCGGCTCCTCCTCCCTCCACCACCGCCCCCAACCGCCTCCTTCAGTGAACACTGAACAGGCTCAGCTCTCGCTTCACCACGACGGTGTTCAGGGTTCGCACCGTGGCCCCAGTCAGATTAAACATATTCCATTAACCCTTACCTCATCATGTCTTAAATGTTCGTATCTTTCATTGAAAATGACTCCTACCATTGCTGGATTCATCACTTACAGCGGAG